ATCGGTAGCTAAATATATACCTAAAAATATATAGTATTACGAATTTGGTCAATAACATACAAATATGTAAATAAGTTAAGAATGATAATTGCGTACAAGCGCATTTGATTACGAAATTCCGCGCGTGCTGAGCAGACTTATCTAATACATAGGCCTCCTTAGGGTCGTTAATTTCTCTGAAGTGGTCGTTCACTTTGTCATATATCTTTTGTCTCTGCAATACACAAGACATCCATGCATGAATTGCATAATATATAAATAATTTTGATTAGCGTATTTACAGTTTCATTGTAAAGGCAGCTTGTGATAAGCTTTAGGAGGACACCAGCAAATATCATATTACCAAAAATATTTTCCGTGACTATTTCGAGATGTACTCCCCATTCTTTTTTCAACCGAATTATCTAAATAATATAATATATCCATTAAAGCTTGTTGTTTTTATGAAAATAATATTATAAAATGATTGTTAATAAACGAGAAATGCACATTACTACAGGTATTATCGCCACCAATCCATGTAAAGCAAAGTTGACACAGAGAAGAAATTTTTGGAATCGACTTTGATAGAACCATACACCCCAAAAACTTTCCGAAATTTCAACCCACTGCCAACTGCGATGAATAAAAAAAGCCGTCTCCTTTCTATTTTGATTTTTGTAAAATGTTATAGATCTGCACATTTCCATCTTTCAGAGTTGACACGATTACAATGGTATCAGTTGAATAAAACTGAGAACAAATAAATGCGGCATTTACTGCATCGCGTTTTGCACGACGCAGTTATAACCCCATCTTATGAAATTTTGATTTTCACGGACGTCGGAAATCTTACTAAATCTTACTAACTAAATTATCACGATTTAGTTAAATATTTTAGGCTAATGTATGCAGACAGCCCGTAGACAATGATTTAGATATGATTCGGTGTATATTGTAAAATCTTTATTTCTGTGTGTTAAACAACTAAAATATGAATATGTCTACAGTTGGACAATTTAATATTAAGTAAAAGCTCGTTCTTTTAGAATCAATGTTCAATTTTCCGTGATATATACGAATACACACACACGCGCGCGCGCACGCGCACACCCACACAAAGACAACACTATGTTCATTTGATTTAATATGAGATATACCGGATGGAACTATGTATTGATAAATGAACATATTGTAATATATTCGATATAATCTTTCTCAAATGTTTGATTGCTAAGTACTTTTGTTTATTAGACTTAGTTTATTATTTATTGTACTTTTACAGTCAGTCGATACGACGAACTGATTCTATATAAACTATTTCTGATTTAATAAATATAGTCTAGTTTTTTTATATAACTTTGTATTTCGTTGTAATCATTTAATAGTGACTATAAGAATATACAGCCAGGTTGATATTTATAATTTAAAAGTATTATCAACGTAGTTTCAAATTTACATAGTCTGAAATTTTTGTACTGCAAAATCATGAAAAACGCAATAAAAATTTAATATAAGTTATCAAAACATTATACTTTTTTATAATCATATTTTTCGCGATATGTATTACATACTTTGACGTTCACGGTTGAAATTGAGGGGCCGGATGCAATAAGGGTTAGCGCGTGACCTTTCTAAAAAGTGACTCACGGAGAGTCCATTTTCAAAATTCAAAAAAGTGATTAAAAAAAAATACCATCATATTCCTCATGGAAAATGCCATCTTTTTTACATTTACCATTTTGTTGTAGCATATCGTGTTTCAGAGATAAAAATTATTACCTCAAAATTTCCAAAACTAATTTTCAATTATTTTTTTTTCGAATACATCGCTCCAATTTCGTCAAAAATCATCCGAATTAGCCGTTTTTTTTTTGAATTACGTGTCATTATCTAGCGCATGCGTTGATCCTATAAGCGGATCAATGTGGAACAATGATAATTGTTTATTTAATTATAAGTCAACAATATCGGGTTATACGGTTTTAGTACGTTCAACGACAAAAAGTGTGCGAGGAAGTTTAAGACTCGAATAACTGTTCGCGAGACATTTGTTCGTTAACAATCAAGGAAGATTTCTACAAAGTTTCAAATCGATTCAATAAATAATGACTGAAGGAGAGCGATTTTACCGAAGTTGCGTGCTCGCGGCAACAGCCGCGCGGGCCGCTGCCGCCGGACCTCGGCCGGACAGGCGTAGCGGCGTCTCCCCGCACACAACAGTCACGAAATCATCGATGCTTCATGGATAACAAGTACAATATACTAATCTCATTAGATATCCAACCATGGATAAATTCATATTGAAACAAAAAATAAAAAATGTTACTAGCCATTAGTTTTATTAAATACTTTGCTTGCGATGAACACTACGAGATTATAAAATTTGAATTTCGCACCGCCACTCAAATTACTTTACGTGCATCGTATGTTTTGACTCGAACACACTAGCAAAACAAATACAGTCTCTCTTGACAAGTGTATACAGCTACATGTTTTCGTTACTTTATACCTCGTATGTTTAAAAGATAATTCGTACTGATCCAAGATGTAGTCGAATAAGCGTGTAGTTTATTAATAGTGTATGGTTTGTATTGCGAGCAAAGTATTTAATAAAACTAATGGATAGTAAAATTTTTTATTTTTTGTTTCAATATGAATTTATCCATGGTTGGATATCTAATGAGATTAGTATATTGTACTTGTTATCCATGAAGCATCGATGATTTCGTGACTGTTGTGTGCGGGGAGACGCCGCTACGCCTGTCCGGCCGAGGTCCGGCGGCAGCGGCCCGCGCGGCTGTTGCCGCGAGCACGCAACTTCGGTAAAATCGCTCTCCTTCAGTCATTATTTATTGAATCGATTTGAAACTTTGTAGAAATCTTCCTTGATTGTTAACGAACAAATGTCTCGCGAACAGTTATTCGAGTCTTAAACTTCCTCGCACACTTTTTGTCGTTGAACGTACTAAAACCGTATAACCCGATATTGTTGACTTATAATTAAATAAACAATTATCATTGTTCCACATTGATCCGCTTATAGGATCAACGCATGCGCTAGATAATGACACGTAATTCAAAAAAAAAACGGCTAATTCGGATGATTTTTGACGAAATTGGAGCGATGTATTCGAAAAAAAAATAATTGAAAATTAGTTTTGGAAATTTTGAGGTAATAATTTTTATCTCTGAAACACGATATGCTACAACAAAATGGTAAATGTAAAAAAGATGGCATTTTCCATGAGGAATATGATGGTATTTTTTTTTAATCACTTTTTTGAATTTTGAAAATGAACTCTCCGTGAGTCACTTTTTAGAAAGGTCACGCGCTAACCCTTATTGCATCCGGCCCCTCAATTAGTGACGTTTCTAACCATTTGTCTAAAATTTATGAGAATAAATAAAACCTAGATCATTGTATGATATTTGATCATTATTTACCGAGTTATTTAGTGGGCATGGAAATTAAAAATAACGTGAAATTGAGAATAGATGGCATGTAGTTGAAAATGAAAGGTAATGTAACACATAAATTTACGAAAATTCTGTTTAGAAATATTTTGTGAAAAATAATATAACTAATGCATAGCGATACATTGAATGTTCGAAATATCTTGTCTGTAGTGTTACAAAAAACAAAGTATTACATTACTTTGCAGGTAATTTAGTTACACAAATGAATCATTAAATTTGAAAAAAAAAACATTCACTAAAAAAGAAAACATCGTAGTGTATTTAAGATTTGAGTTATTTGATATAAAACAAACAATAGAAAAATCTGTTTATAAATTACAATTACTTTTTATGGGCAAAATTGGTATACATGATTTTATTATGACTAACCGGAGTAATCACGTAAGTATCGTTTTCCTTCTCTCTCGCTCTCTTTGCGTCATTGAATGCGTAGGGTGGTACCACTGGAGTATTTTTATTTCTATTAGTTTACTGTATAAATGTTTGTACAGTTATTTATTTACGTGTTTGTAGTGTATTATATTTATTTATTTATTTATTGTGCTGTTTTGTGTCTGTATGACGAAAACTAGTCTAAACTTTTGACTGCATTACTAGTTTTAAGATAAGCAAGCTAGACTGTAGTGATAAGAATTATTGTTTCCTCTGGAATATCGAATTGTGAACTAGTCAAATCCTAGTCTATTTATTTTAACGTAATGACTACAATCATAATCTTATTTATTGACTGAGGAACTACAATTGTAATCGAACTGTGATGAAATGTGATGCCTGTACGGTATAATGTAAATTGACTGAAAGCTGTGACAATTACTGTATATATGTTATATATTATTGTATTTTATGTTTTGCCATCACGGTGAATAAAATTCTTATCTATCTATCTATCTATCTTTTCCTAACTACCAGTTGTCGATCACGTGGTGCGATCAATAATTTTTATATGCAATGTAAGATTATTTTAAATATCGATATCTTGAGTAAATTACAATTTCGTACTACACATAAAAATTTAATTTAATTTTTAAAATAGTTCATTACAGCATTCGAAATTTGTTGTATTAGCGAAAGGAACTTCGTTCCAAGTGCGTGCCTCGCGACATTTTTTCATTTTTTTAAGTAACTGCAGTGTAACTACAATATCGCAAATAAAGTAGCGACGATATTGCCTAACATTATCTACGGTATTGTGGAAGGTAAGTAAAAATAAAGAAAGTCCGATAATCGTTTACTTAATATTAAGTTTCGTCGGGAGAAGCTCTTGTATGACATTACATACGAGAGTGGGCCAAGCCAGAAGTCCGCGGCTTTATCAACAAAGTTATCAGCATCGAGAGAGAGAGAGAGGGAGAGAGAGAGAGAGAGAAAGAGATAAGTCTCGATGGCTCTGCTCTTCTTATTCGGAGCATGACGAGAACGCAGGCTAGCAGTTGATCGCGAGTGGCCGAAAAAGCGTGTAGCGCGGTGGAGGCCAGAGCAGCGAGGGCGACGACGAAAATGCTCGTGGATCAATAGTCGGGACACATCGACGCGCAGAGAAGATGCAGGTCTGCATCGCGAGGCTCGCGTTGATCGTGCTGGTGTTTCCGCGAGCGGAGACCTCATTGGCCAACGTGACGGCCGAGCGCGCGATCGTCACTCGCAACTCGCGCTTCCGACCGCTGCTGGCGAAGAGCTCGGAGCGCCTGGTCTACGCGTCGTTCCCGGCCTATCCCCGGCCGAGGATCAAGCTCGAGACCGAGCGGGCGAGCGAGTTGCCGTGCGAGCTGGACCTGCCGGCTACGGGCGACGTCGAGTATCCATTGAGCTTCGACAATCTGGCCAATGGCAAGCTCGTCCTGTCGTTCGTCGCCTCCAAGGACTCGCTCTACCGTTATCTGCTTGTACTCGTGGTCGATCAGGCCGAGTGCCAGTTTCTGGCCGTGACGACGATGCTCGACCAGAGCCGCGACGAGCAGATGGCCCAAGATTCCGTCTTCGTGGTGACCGGCGAGGAGGAGTTCGACGTGTTTCTCAAGAGGCATCAGCACTGCGACCAGGGCAAGGCTTGCAGACTCAGGTACAGCCACATCGGAGAGCTGATCGGAGTCAGCGAGTTCGACATAGCCGCGGATGCCGAGAGTTGGACCGTCAGTTCGGTCGCCGACAGGAACTTCAGCGACGGCTACTTCTATACCGTGACGAGCCGCCACGGCACCGTCGTCCAGCGACTGGAGCAGGACTTGCAGGTTTGTCGATTTCGAATATTTCGCTGTTTGCGGCGACGTCGCGGGCACGACTGATCGAGCGATTGGCGTCGAGTAGGTTCAGGAGGAGCTGCAGATCAGCAGGACGTTCCTGTACTCGGCCTCGCGTGGCAGCGTCAACAGTTGTCGCGCCGTCTCGGCGACGAGACTCGAGTGCGAGCTTCGCGACGTCCAATTGACGGGCCGCTCGCGATCCGTCGTCGAGGCCCAGTACTTCAAGAGCTTCGTACGGGCGGTCAGGCTGTTCAACCTGTCGGATGGCAGTGCGATGATCGTCTACATTATGCAGGTGTACGTCGAGCCGACCAACGGCAATCGCTTCGCTACTTATCTCCAACACCTCGATCTCCACGGCCATGCCGGTAACCCTGTCAAGTTTCAGGAAGACGTTTGCAAGGATTTCAAGGACATTGGCATGATTTTCGTGCGCGACAATTTTCATTGCTTTAGCGTCTACTGCCGCGATACGATCAACACCAAATGCGCTGCCGTGCGCACGATTTAGCCGACATCGCAGCGAGATCTGCCCCTCGAATACACGCTTTACTCTGGTTCGCGCATGTTAATATGCAATGACATGAGCTGGTTTCCGGCAAATGTAAATTTTAAGTGGTAATAGTCAGGTTCTGAGGTAAGGCATTGTACTTGAAAATAAGTGATTAAACAATGATTTTTACCAAAATCTTGAAAAATTGAAAGTGTGTTGGACAATCCTGCAAGCAATTACGGTATTTCGGAAATATCATTGGTATTGTCATTTGTTAGTAATATAACTAAATTAAGCTTTCGAAAGCTGTATTTGAGTAAATACTACTAATTTTTAAGAGCTTCTAAATTTTTTATTTCCGTTGAAAACTGTCAACATCAGACCTAGCAATTGGTTTACTGTTTACCATTAAATGGTAGATTTACTAATAAGTATGGGTAACCTAATCCGAACTCACCGACTTTGATAATTCTCGGATATGCTGTAGTACATTGCAAAATAAAAGATACGTATTTTTTTGTCGATGAAAAAAATGTATCTAAAAGGAAGGTACTCCAACCTCATCTCGTCGATTTTAATTATTTTTTGATATGTTGTAGTACGCAAAAAAATAAGAGACGCCTATTTTTCTATGTGCCGACATTCACTTTAAAGGGGTGAAAACTATCCCTAAAATTTTTTCCCGAAAATCGTTTTTTAATCATATCTGGTCTTCTAACTAATATTTTTTTATAAAACTACGTGGAAAACATTTCTCATAAAGTCAAAGATATGAGTTCAAATAAATTTTAAAAAGCTTTTCCATTGACTCCATTGAATATGAGAATTATCGTGTTTCAGGATTTTTTATACAACCATCCCTAAATACCATAAACTACACCTAAATTTAATAGAATACACGTAAATGATGAAAAATCTTATAAATGTGATAACAGAATGTAATTAGTATCAAAAGCAGTAAGGTTATAATTATTTTGAAATATAAAAGTCAAAAAAATGATAAAAGTTATCCTAGAAAGTTAATTATTCAATATAAATAAATATTTAACAATATTTTTTAAATAAAATGTTTGAAAATTATATTTAGGTTTTAATTTTTTATAAGAAGAGTTACCCTTTTTCTTTTTCTTTTTATAAGTAAGATGTAGGATGTTATTCTATAAAGTGTTGAAATAATAATGATTATAATAATGAATAATGATAATAATAACTATTGCAAAAAAAAATAAAAACTGTTGGAAACAGCTTCTGGACAATGTCCACTCCATGAAGTACATTTTTACTACTTACAAGGAAAGTACCCCAGGTGTCCCTTTCCGATTTCAATAATACTGAGATATGTTATGGTGCATCAAAAAATAAAAGACACGTATTTTTTTATCGGCGGATATGCACTTTAAGGGGGTGAAAACCACCACCGAAAGTCACCCTCAAAATCACATTTTTTTTCAATATCTTCGGTTCTATTCAACATTTATCAATAAAACAAAATGGAAAAGAATTGCTATAAAAAACGCAACGACAGCATGTAGGTTTTGATAATAAGGGTTACAACCCTTAGATTTAATAGGGGTAAAACTGTATTTTTCTAGTATTTTTTTCGTGTAAAATTTTACAGAATCGTTACAAAAATATAAAAAAATGTTTTTCAAATACAAAATGACAAAAAAAAGGTGACCTGTTTCGATGTTTCCGTATAATCTTTTGTTACGGGGGTGAACTACCCCTAAAAGCTATTATAAATCAATCTAGATAAATAATACAATAAACGAATCCCCGATTTTAATAAAATTGTGATATGTTATAGAGCACTGAAAAGTAGGGAATACGTATCTTTAATCAGCTAATATTCAATTAATTTTCAATAAATTTTATGAACTTTCACAATTAGTTTTATTCATTCTTTAAATAATGAACAATAATGATAGTCTTAAAGAAAGTGTTTGAAGCATAAAGATTTTTTACACCAAGCACAGCGAACTATTGCAATATTGCGTTTTGCAAGAATCGCCAAAGCTGAAGTCGACAGGTTCTCAAATTTTCCAGGGTTTACATCAAGGTATCCACTTTTGTACCAAGAATATTTAATAAGATTTATATATCTTGGGGATGAAAATTGGTTCTGGACTAGAGATTGCAGTTTAATAATATTATTACGTTTATACAATTGCATATCATAATCCATTAAAATTACTTTGTCTGAAAAATGTCTAACATAATTTTTCCAAATGCGAAAGCCAAATACGTCTATAGGTTGAATTTTTCCTTTAATTCCTGTAAGAATTTTTTTTATATTTACTTCTTTATTAACAGGTGTAACTTCTTCTACTTATTTAGGACAAAGCCCACTCCAAGAATCTAATAATAATATACTTTTAGGACCAACTTTCGGAAAATATATTTTTTGTAACCAAATTTTAAAAGGATCTGAAAAAAATTATGTCTTTTAATGTTGTAGTACAGTTTGCAGGTATTCTCGTAAAAATTTTACTTTCGGTAAATAAATATTGATAAATACCTGAAGTCAGTTTTCCAGATTATGATGCTTTAACATTTTTAGGTCGAAATAAATTAGATTCAACAACTGGTCCAAATTGGCCACTTTTTTCTTTACAACTAGGAAATGTCGTGAAAGTAATTTTCCATCATCTGATATTAGAGGGTGTATTGTCTAACTATGTGTTGTAGACGAAACTGATTGTACAACACACTGCACCTGTTTTTCTCCTTCAACAGCTAATGTTCTACCAGAATGTATCTCTAACTGGAATCCACTTAGATCAGAGTTGAATACATTTTCCATTTCTACCCCTTCTGCACATTATTTAACATCAGTTACAAATTCATTTGCATGTTTTTCTAACTCTGTGGCACTTTCTAAAGTTTTTCTGGTTACGAATTTATTAATTTTTCTTGATACTATTCTGTGTGTTTTCTTGAAACGATTAAGCCAGTGATTCGAAGCTTTAATTCTAATATCTTCATAGCCTATTTTCTTTTGAGTTTGTAATGCCCATTTACGTAAGTCTGAATCATGAACGACCAATCCCGCTTCAATTGCAGCTTTAAAATTTTCCAATGTAAATTCTAGACATATTCTAGAAATTTTTTCTCTATATGTCCCTCCTTTATTCAAAGTCTGAGCCCAACGCCGCAACTGCCTTATAGATCTTACTTTCTTAAACTTTTGTTTCACTGATTCAAGACTCAAATTTTTTTTTGTTTACTGCTTCTCCAGTATTCCACTGCTTTTAATTTATTATCATATGATATATCTTCTTCATCTTTAGTACATTCATTTGTTGGTGAAAAAGGACGATCTGAAAAGTGATGCAAAATTTCATCTTCAACAATTTCAGTTTCTATATATTTAAATGGTTCTTGGAAATCTAACGTTTCATCTGTTATTATTTCCACTTCATTAAAATCATTCATTGCATCTAATAAAATCGTTTCAATTTTAAAGAAATTTTAAAGAATATTTAAAGATTGAAAAGCCATAAGAACAACATTGATCACGTTTATTGGATTTATTTTCATATTAAATCCTATAAAATTAATTAATTACTTCTAATAAAATTAAAATTAAAGTCTATTTTTAAATAAGTAACTATACGTATTCAAATATAATATATATTTAATCAAATAAGAATTACATCTAAAAAAAAATTTGTAATTAAATTATTAAATTTATATCTATATTTATTAAACTTACCTTTATAGTAATAATAAAAATGAAATCACTAGTTTAAATTTATATACGACGATTATCTTCTAATAACAACACAAAATAAGTTTTTCAAAAAATGTATTTAAAAGAAATATTAAAAATGATTAAAACATTTAAATCTACCAAGCACGAAAAGTAGACTGAACGTTTTTAAGATGTATAAAATATTAAAAATATCATCAAAGTAATTTATTTGATAATATTATATGACGAAGCGATAAGCATAAAAAATAAAACGGAGAGAATGATAAGATAAACTTTATGTACATACTGACTACATTATCAATTCTCAAGATGAGATACGATGGTAAAAATAGTCTGAACCAATATATTATGGCTATTTTGCACAGTAAACATTTTTAAAACTATTCTACTTTATATATTATTAAGCTACACATACCTATAGTCAATTTACCAAATTTTGATGCTATCACGAAAACATTAGGTTGTTTAAATAAATTTTTTAGTATTATCGGGTTTATTATTATTATTTATTTATTATTTATTTATTATTTAGTATTATCCTTTGTTTCCTTCATAACTGAAAAGGGGGCGAAAGTAATTTTCTTACAGCATTTATTGTCGGCTGTATTGTATAATAGTGGATTGATGCAGAAATTGATTGAACAGCACACTCAACTTTTTTCTTCCTTCCTCTTTTAGTGTTTCTTTGGAATGAATTTCTAACTCAAATCCTCTTTGATCAGACAAGGAAAGGTACCCAACCCGAACTCACTGATTTTGATGATTTTGATACATATTGTAGAACACAAAAAAATAAGAGACACATTTTTTTTTTATCGCCTAATTTTCACTTTTATCCCCAAACAGCGTTTTTTTATTTATTTATCTTCATCATGGATAATTGAACCACTGTCGAGAGCTGTTTTAAAATTATCCAAAGTATACTGACAAATTTGTGCTACTTTTTCTCTATACGTGCCACCTTTATTAATTGAATGAGCCCAAAGACGTAGCTGACTAATAGATGATACTTTTTTGAATCTGTTTTGCATTGTTTTGAGACTTAAATTTTGCTTCGGTTTGCTACTTCTCCAAAAATCTATAGCTCTTTTTTGGTATTCAAAATCTAGTTCTTCATTATCTGCTGTACATTAATTTGTTGGTGCTATATTCGGATCAGGAAAATGATGTTACACTTCATATTCAATTATTTCCGCATTATGGTCTTTATATTCTTTTTGAAAATCCAAAGAGTCATCAGTAATCATTTCTACATTGTTGAAATCATGTATTGTATCTATTAAAATTTCTTTTATTTTTTCGGCCAACTCTGTTTCATGATAATTCGTGACACT